AGCGTCAATGGGTTTATGCAAAGACGGTAAGTTTCACTTATCTGGATCAAGAAACACACAAAGTGTACCAGAAATCTTAAGTCGAGGCCTTGAAGGCTGGTAGACGCAGCATTTGCTGTGATGATATATTTGTTAGAAGATCGGCTTAAAGCATACGTTGAGCGATCAAATTCCCGGACCATGGGGCAATATTGAATGATTGCGCCCGTGATGACGCGATAGGATATCGCCCAGTGACGTCATAGGAAAGGCTTAGATGTTGCACAGAGTAGCGAACTACGGATATATTCACTTCCAATCTTGCCTTTTACTCCTCGCCTCATCTTTCCGAAAGGTTATGAGCCCAAGTGACTCCGACGACGCGCCAAGCCAGTCAGCTTCGACGCCGGTCACGAAAAGGTGGCACTGTCTCCAGCAGCTGTGGATGACACGCTGACTGCTCGGGAAATGAGCGACGGCGTCAGTGCAAGGATTCTCGCCTCTTTTCTCGACCTTCAAGCAAGGATGACGCAGATGAAGGCCTCGCAAGTGAAGCGAGACGAGGACGAGCTTATGTTCGGGGCAACAGAGTCAGGGATTTTCCACTCTGTCCTTGGCAACAGCCGATGAGGTACGCCGATGCACATCGACGCGCTTTGGCCGTTCATCGTGCGGCAGATGTAAGATCAAGGCCGGACATACGCGCGACGTCCGTATGGGGCAGGGAGACAGCCTATAAGGCTGTCGTGGGATGCTCCGCACGGCGAAGTGCTATGGTAGACCCAGCTCCACTCGCCACAGTACGCAGCGGCACAGAACTACGCACGACGAATGGAGCCGGGTGCACAGCAAGCGATGCATGTTCCGTATGAGCGTCAGCGCAGCGCAAACTCAACGGCACTGGGCTGTAAGGAGGCCAAGAATCCGGGATTTTGGACTAAGTCGGATATTCATGCACCAAATCTAGTATGCGCAAGCAGCGTGTGGCTTTGACTGGTCAGAAGACGTGAAGGAATTGCTTGGTCACTACAGCCGAGCGGGACTTTAACAAGTAGGTAGAGACTTGATGGCGCCAGCTCCCGACGCTGAACTATGTCATGGAGCGCCTACGCCAGATGTTCTAGACGACAATCACTGCGACACAGTCAATGGGACTGGTTACGGCGACTAAAGACGCCAAGAGGATCTGACCCGAACACTCCCTGTACTTGGTGGCAGAAAGCGTTGCGTGCGGAGGTGCTGACGCACAATCGCTCGACAACATTGTCCACCGAGCGTCGAGTGAACTGCGCACGGTACTAGTGGCAAAGTACGAGTGCTAGCAAGATTTAGAAAGCACCGGATAAGGTGCAGCCTGAGCGGTCGACAATCTACGAGCCATACTTGGTGATTAAGTCACAATTTGTTTTGGTGAGAACAGTCATGGCGTTTCTTCAAATCCGAACTTAAGTATTACCGAGAGGCATTCGACGAAACCATCTACCAGAAAAGAGGTACCCCCTCTCACTGATTCAAAGCGTCACGCAATTTTTTTACGACGCGCAACTGTCAAAATTAGCCGAGAATACCCATAGGCATTACACATACCAATTTCGATATCGTTCCGTGAATCTTGTCACGGTGACGGTAGCGAGATTGTCGGTTTTTTTTTTTTACTTTCCGATGAGACTTGTGAATTTGAATCGTGAAAATCGTGAAAATCGTCTGTGCTTGCATGATACATACTATTTCGGTATCGATATGATGCGTTCTTAATGCCATGAGCCATGAAGCTGCCTTTTCTAAACAGAAGAAGAAGCGTATTCGACGCTGGTAAAACGCTGTGGTAGCTTGATGCAAGACATCGGATTGTTAAGCTGAATGCTATGAGCAGATTTCTGAAGAAAGACGCCACGGTCTCATGCTGATACAGACGATAGCGATTCTGTACCTATGCTGATACCCTTTATGCCGGGATATCTATAATATAGTGCACAATAATTGCTACAAATCGGTGTTTCGTGTACCCGAGTACGTGAAAAGAGAGAGCGGCTGTTAGTCGCGCTAGGGTCTGCAGAGTTTCACAAGTGTAAATGGCATAAAAGAGGCATAGCCGTGGAATGTGTTATCCCCGTCACGATGTAACAGTTTGTCCCGTCAGCACTAGCCGCCGCGCCGTGCAGTGAATGTCGATGGGCTAGGGACAAGAGTGATTATACACCCGTTCTTGGTATAGCAAAGTAATGGACTGCTTCAATTTGATCACAATCTTCAACGAGTCGTGCTCCTCTAGTGTCACTTGTATTTAAGCTTCCAGGTCGTATTGAAAGCAAAAGGCAAGACTGGTCAGCCGTCGTGGGTACGTGCGCCATACGTCACACGAGGGGCTACCAAGCGAGCGGCACAAGACACAAAACAAGTGACAAGTGATGTAGCCGATGTTATGCAAGTTTACGAGGCTGATCGAGCGACACACGCTGAGGCTATGCGCAGTTCGAAAGCTGAAGGCTAGAGAAAGCCATTGCTTGGGAGATCCTAGCTCTCGAAAACAACGGCGTCTGAAATGTGATCAAACAACCGGCCGGGGCCAACATGTTGCACATTAAGTGGGTACTCAACACCAAAGCGGATGCGAAAGGCGCGCCTAGTTGCGTGCGGAAAAGAGCAAGCTACTGGCATAGATTATGCGCTCACTTCCGCTGCCGTCATGGATATGTCGACAGTAAGGTGATTATAGGACTTGCAGCGACGTGGGGGGTACCGGCAAAGCATGATGACATTCTACACGCCTACATCAAGGCTGACAAGAAGAATGACCTAGAAAATCCTGCTTCATGTGCCAAGCAGTATGGACATCAAAGCTGAGCAACTAAAGAAACTTGATGAGAACAACGCAAACGAAGTAGTGCTTGGACTAAAAAAAAGCCTGTATAGACTGAAGCAGGTGGGACGATTATGGAGTCAACTGCTTCTCACAAGACTCTCAGATACTGGATTCAAGCAGTGAATTAGTGACATGTTCCTGTAATTCAAGCGCGACGGAAAAGATTTGACAGTGGTTGGTGTCTACGTCGAAGATCTCCTTGTTACAGCAACAAGAGCCGCAGCGGTCGAGTAATTCTTCATTTCAATGGCTTCGCGAATCTCGGATCAGTGTCGAAGTTTCGCGGTATAAGAGTGACGGCACGCGGCGCGCATACGTATACTCTCGATCCAGAAGGCTATTGTCGAGCTGCTTCGTGAGCACAGTATGGCATCGGCGAACCCTAAACGCACACCTATCGCTGACGACTGCCACGACAAATTCACGCCAGACAGCATACTGCGGCAGGAAAATGCCGGCTTCGGGTGGCCTAGTATTCGTTCGTTTCAGTCGTTGGTCGGAAAGTCTGCTATGGATCGCACGATGCACGCGGCCAGACACTGCTTTTGCAGCTCTGTATTGGCAAAGATGATTGCACGCTACCTGTGCAGCGGGGCTACCGTAGCTTAGCGCTCGAGGAAGCGTAATTTAGGTCACCGATCTTTCGTTCTATACTTTGAACAAGTACGACTTAGCGGATCGCGGTCCGCATACTGCAAGAGTACCTATTGCCTTACCCGAGGCTAATAAGCTCTTCCGTTTAGGATCCAAACTGATATTTATATATTTTTATCTGCGGCAAAGCCGCCTAATTTTAAATGTCTAGATTTTCCTTAAGATATATAGTAAAATCTAAAACATGCATAACTACTGGCTACCTAGCCCCGTACCGTATTCTTGTTTGGGTGT